AAATGTCAAACTAAATACCTGATCCATAAACTTTTCCCTCCAACAAAAGGATATCGTCTTGTTAGTGAACCTAACCCGCTAAAGAAAAAGGAAGAGAGGAAATTACAGGAACCCACACTTTTAGAGATCCAATTTCATAAATCAGAGGTATGATTTACTATTTCAAATCTAAAATGTTTTGTTATATCAATCCTACACAATTTCAAAGCCTAATTATTTCATTCTCTCTCTCTCTCTCTCTCTCTCTCTCCTTCCCTCCCCCGCCACCACCACCTCGCCCGAATATTCCAAAGGCTGCTCTTGCGGCGACGGCTCTTCATCTTCGTCGGAAGAGCAGATTACACGGAGGCGTCTTCTTTACATTTTACTATGTTTCTCTGTAAGCGCGCTCTCGTTTTTCCCTCTAGTTTGGTTTTTTCCCCAAATTTTCTATTTTTGAAATTTATATGTGCGAAAGAACATTGGACCAATAGTTGGATTGGGCGTAATTCAATCTCTAAACGAAACCTAGAAGCCCATTCATGTGCTCTCTTCAATCCATGGTTGTCCATTTTTTTGTAGAGTGACTACAAAATCTGTCACGTGGGAGTAGCCCTCTCTAAGTTGCTTTGTCCTAACCCTCGAGATGATTTACAAGCACTTTAATTACCCTTCTCTTTTTAGCCAATTTTTCAATCCGTGGTGGTCCATTTTTCTCATGTTTTGCTATGGGTGTGGTGTAAATGGAGATAGAGGAGGTAGTGCTGGTGGTGGTGGTATGTTTTGGGCAATGGTGGTGGATTTGTGGTAAGCGGTGGTGGATCTATGGTGGCGGTCCGTGTGGTGGTGATGGTGGTCTGTGAGATAATGTTGGCCCGTGTGGTGGTGGTCATTTATTGTTATTATTGTGGCAGTGGTTGTGGTGGTGATGTGGCGGGGTGGATGGCGGTGGTGGTGGTTTTTTTGGTGTTGTGGTGCAGGCGGCGATGGTTATGGTTGTTTTTTGTTGTTATTGTGGCGATGGTTGTGGGGGTGTTGTGACGAGGGCGACAGTGATAGTTTGGGTCGTGTTGTGGTGAGGAAGGGCTGTGATGGTATTTGTGACCAATTATTTGATTGATTTGTAACTAAATATTGGTGGAGAATCGGGACGGGGTGGGGTGTTTGGTGTATATGACCGACATTTTGGTTCATTGTGACTCATTATTAATCTTAGACCTTAAATTTTGATAATTTGTGATTAAGAAATTTGAAAATATATGACCTATCGATAAACTGTGATCTATAATTTTTTTATCAATATGAATTAAATTGTGACGTATAAAATTTTTAATTTGTGACCTATAAAATTTCTAATTTGTGATCGTAAAATAATTTGTGAAGTTTCAATTTTTAATTTGTAACCGATGAATAAATTGTAATCTATAAAATTTTAAAATTGTGACCGTGAAATAATTTGTGACCTATAAAATTTCTAACTTGTGACGTTTCAATTTTTGATTTGTAATCAATGAATAAATTGTGACCTATAAAATTTTGGAATTGTAACCATAAAATAATTTGTGACCTATAAAATTTCTGATTTGTGACGTTTCAATTTTTTATTTATGACCGTTGAACAAATTGTAACCTATAAATTTTTTGCATTGTAACCGCAAAATAATTTGTGATATAAAATTTATTATTTGTGACCAATTATATGAAATTTGTGACCAAATTATATGAAATTGTGATCTTAATATATTTAATTAATAAAATATATGTTTAATTAATTAATTTATAAATAAAATTTAAAAAAATCTTACATTATCTCTTAAATTTGAAATTGAGAAAACTTAGGTTCTTAGTTATGTAATCTTCCC